AAAATGTGGACTGAAATGAAGGGTCAACTTGTCCAAGACTGATCTCTCCAGTCTAGCCCCCCACAAAGGCTGGCCTCCTGCACAGTCCATGTAAACCATCTAGTCTCAGTGCTTAAGTCCATTAATTTGGTCAAAAGCAAGGCTTGAACTTAGCTCATCATGGGGAAGAGGAGAGAGGAAAGTGCTGGTGCTGCCTCAACTATGAATGCTGCTGTGGTAAATCCTACTGCTAGTTTGCATGCCCCCCAAAACTCACCAATAAAGCTGCAACTGCAAGGCTTGGACCCCAGTCCCTCATCATGCCAGAGAAGGGGCTGGTGTTATATCCAACCACCAATGCTGACCTGGCAGGATGGGACTGAAATGAAGGCTGTGCCAGTCATCTTGCTATTGTTCCCTGGCCTCAGATCATACCAAAGGAGGAGCTGGTGTTTCCCTAGTCATGTCTGCCCCCAGCAGACCCCTGTGTGCAGCTTTAGAATGAATAGGAGCATCTCCTATTGACCCAGTGTCTGAGAGCTTTCTCCAGTGCCCCACAGGCACAGTGAGAATGCTGCTTGCCCATTTGTCCTGTTTGTATAATAAAATCCTTACAAATAAAGTCACAATTCTAAAAGAAGATACAGCGGATTTGTTCCAAGTGTTTTTCAGTTGATGACTACTCCAAGCCAGCCACCCCAAGTAAAGATCTGAAGATATTTGACCTGAAGAATGAGACTGCCAGCCCTTGAGCCAAAGGGAACCAGGCCGCGCTGCACCCCAGAGACCCATTTTTAGCAGCAGTGGGGACTTGAACCTATCTACTGTTCATGACTCTGGCCGGGGGCTCTGCGTGGGGCTCTGGTCACATTTACACCAGTGGGATGAACATGACCCCTGACTGCAGCCATGTGCCCAGTCTCTGTGGCTCTGGCTTCTGCTCATGTTCCTCATTTGCTCCATGGTTCTCTGAGTGTGCTGGAGCCCTGCCCAGGACTATAGCCAGCTTGGTTGGGCCCTGACAACCTGCCCGTTGCCATCTGCCGGCTAATGTCCCACTTTAGCATGAATGAGGGCACTCCTGGAATCAGGATGCTGCCACCTGCTCCCGCGCACAGCTGCCACCTAGCTGTTGCTGCATGGCCTCCATTCGCTTGTCTGGACCAATCAGATCAGATATGTGGAAGCTGGGCCACCATCACCTCAGAGGGAACCCTTCAGCCAGGTAAGTCCCCACTCCACTCTAGCCACATATTTTTGAAACTCCCAGTTTACTTTTTTAGGTTGAAAATTCTACCCCCTATTACAGAAGCTTCACAGATAATTTTCACCCTCACTAGGTACATCAAACACTCAAAGTTAATCTCCAGAGTTTTCATCAACATTGACTTAGTTGTTTTATCTGTCAGGCAATAAAGGTATGGTTCTAGGGTTTATGAACTATTTAAGGGCATAGAAAAATATTTTAGATCTGACAGAAAGTAGTTCCAAAACAAAATAACACACTCTCAAATGATCTCAAAAGCAAAAGCCTTTACAATTATTCATAACCCAAACTTTTTACTTATGAAATATGAGTGCATTTCATCATCCAGTAGGGTGGGACATCTAAACTCGAGCAAGTCAAGGACCTGAGAGTGTAATCTCATGGCAGACCCTCCCTAACTGCTCACATTTTCCAACCTCATCGTTTCCCTCAGTCACTGTGTGGCTGCCACCAATGGTAGGTGCGACCATGGCGGCGTGGGTACTAACCACAGGGCCCATAGGCAGAGTATTTGTTGAATGAACGGGTGCATCGATGAATGAATAAACAAATTAACAATATATAAATCCTACAATAGAAATATTTTAAGATATTTTTAAAAATCAGAATGAGAGGGGAATGGGGAGTTGTTGCTTAATGAGTAAAGCGTTCCAGTTTTGCAAGGTGAGAAAGTTCTGGAGATTGGTTGTGCAACCAAGCAAATATACTTAACACTGCTAAATATACTTAGAAATAATGAGGATGTCTAAGTTTTATGTTACATTTTTCACCACCATAAAAAATTTAAAAATCAAACCAAATTTTTAAAAATTAGAAATAAAATTTACAGAAAAATTCAAAATACACTTATGACAGCTATCTGAATCTCACTGCAGCAACTCTTCAGTTTTCATCAACATAGCCCTGACTTCTTCAGTCCTATTTTCATATAATATGTATTATTTATTCTGTGACTTCTTTTGGGGGAGGTCAGTAAGTGACAGTTTCATTTGACAGTCCAGACAGAATTTGATGGCGTAATTACAAAAACAAAATAAAAACAATTTTACTTTCAATTTTATATAAGGAAGAACTTAACCCTTTTGTACAATTTGAAAAACAAAACTTGACTTTTAGCAACAGGCTAGAAATTTTTAACAAATTTGAAATAACTTTTCAATTTATAGTAAGCCATATCTCCTCAGTGTGTACATTTACAATCACCTAGAGTCTCCACACTCAGAAATAACTACTGTTAATGTGTTAGTGTAGATATATGCACAATACAAATACATTTTACATTGTGCTTTATATCTTATTTTTCTATTTAATGTATCAGGAGCATTTTCTGAAATTAACACATATTCATAGTTTCCTGTGTTACTTTGGAATAAAATCGAAAGTCCTCACCTTGGCCTACAAGCCCCAGTGTGATCTATCCTAAGCCTCCCTGTGTAACTTCAGCTTCTTCCACTTCCCACCTTCCACTCGCTGTGTTCCATTCACACAGGCCTTCTTGCTGGTCCTTAGGCATGATCAGCATGCACTTGCCTCAGGGCCTTTGCACTTATTGCATCCCCCCTCTGGAACCCCTTGCTTCAGATTTTCACAAGGGCTACTCCCTCATTTCACTGCTATCTCACCTTATAATAGGTAAGCACCTTATATAAAGTGATAACCATTGTGTATCCCCTTGCTCTACTTTATTACGTATTGTAGGACTTAACACGACTTAATATAATATTACATAACTATTGATTGTTAAGACCTGGTTTTCCTAGAAGAATGTAAGCTCTACAAGGGCAGAGACTTTGTCTTGTTCATTCTTCTATCCCCTGACACCAGGTTGTAAATCATCATTTGTTGAATGAACCAATGACTTTTGCTTTAACCTGTTTCATGACTGCACAGAACTCTGTTGCATGGATGTTGCTAAATACATTTAGCTAATTCCCTTTTCTGGGATACTAGAGATTGCACTGCAGTGGAATACTTAAATATGTTCTCTTAAATATAGTAGTTTTCCATTGTTTTATCCGAGTTAATTACACTGAGTGCAGCAGCTTCCTAGCCATCCGCCTTCCTCTTTTCCCTCCTCCCACAGTTTGTATTACAGACAGACTGATATCCCACTCCTTTCCTTGCCCTCCATGTACAGAAGCTTAAGTCCAAGCTCTGACTGCTGGTGTGTCCCTATTCTACCTTCCCACTGTGGTTTCCCAGGGTGGGAGGAGGGGGGAGGATCGCGAAAAATAACTAATGGGTACTAGGCTTAATACCTGGGTGATGAAACAATCTATACCACAAACCCCATGACACAAGTTTACCTGTGTAACAAACCTGCAGATGTACCCCTGAACTGAAAATAAAAGTTAAAAAAATCATTTAACTATTCCAAAAAACAGCCCACACTTCCCACTGGATGCAGGTTGTCCCTCTTATCAGTTGCTCTAATTATGCTTTAGTGAATATTGTTCCCTTTTCACAGAATATATTCCTATTCATTTACAAGCCTAAATTCCACCCATCTTCCAAGTCCCTTGCCAGTCCCTCCTGATTGCATCATGCCTTCCTTGAATCTAGTCTGCATGACATCTCACCTCCCTAAGTTTTTCTAATACTCCCTATGTCTAGCACGCATGATGGCTTCTGACCATGTTCAGGCACCTCATGAGCTTTAGCTACAATCACATGAACTGCAACTTCCTGAAGCACTTTCAAAGTCCTATGCAGTCCTAGTCACAAAATAATAAATATTTTTAAAATTGAGCAGTTTCACCAAAGTCAAAACTTTTATGCAAAACGAGATAGTGTTTTGAGGGAAGAAATGATATTATCCAAGATCAAATCTTTTCATCTTTCCCTATATTTTCTTTGCATATTATCTGCACACTATTTTGCCATAAAGAATTTTCCATTCTTAAATTTCTATTTGCAATCCTTGATCGGCCACAATACAAAATCTATTTCTGACAATTTTGTTGTTGTTTTGGATTTTGGCTTGTCTTAACATTATTAAGTATGAAGTTATTTTTAAATGAGTATTTCATTCAGGAATTATTTTAAAAATCATGATGAGGCCGGGCGCGGTGGCTCAAGCCTGTAATCCCAGCACTTTGGGAGGCCGAGACGGGCGGATCACGAGGTCAGGAGATCAAGAGCATCCTGGCTAACATAGTGAAACCCCGTCTCTATTAAAAAAAAAATACAAAAAGCTAGCCGGGGGTGGTGGCAGGAGCCTGTAGTCCCAGCTACTCAGGAGGCTGAGGCAGGAGAATGGGGTGGACCCGGGAAGTGGAGCTTGCAGTGAGCTGAGATCCGGCCACTGCACTCCAGCCTGGGCGACACAGCGAGACTCCGTCTCAAAAAAAAAAAAAATGTCATGATGAGGTGGTATGTGAGTTACATAGCTATTTCTTGGTTTTCATATAACGGGCATGGGGCAGTATGAAAATCATAAACTATACCTTTCATTCTTTCATCCTGTGTGTGGAGGGGTCAGGGAGGATGCTTTCTCTTAGTGAGGATGTTACCGGGTAGGAACTGTAGGTTGAGCACTCAGGCAGAAGCATGAGCAAGGGATTCTGCAAAAATATTCTGTAAGGAATACTGAAGCTAGGTCCACAAGTCACATGGTTTTGTTTTTTGATCTCAATCATATACATGATTATGCTGAAATCTCAGGTCTTTTTCTCCACCACCATGTGTTTTTCGGTTGCGTGATCTCATTATCCACCAAAACACACCCAAGGCATCCTGGCAAATGCCCACTCACCATCTTCCTCGTAGAGAAGACCCATATGCATGTGTGCCTCGGCTTCTTTCTTCCCACCGTCAATTTTGATCAGCTGAGCAATCTTAAAACATCGTTCATAGAAGTGGTTCCTTACCCACTTGTCTTCAGGGTTATTGAAGTAACAGGCCAGAGCATACAAGTTGTTATATACATCTTCGAAGGATTCTTCAAAGAGAGAAAAGCGCCATGAATGGCATTAGAAAGATGTTTCATGGCATACCCTTTAGAATGGCAAACCAGTATCATGACATTTATTTCCTACTTTTCCTTAAAGATGTGATTAACAATTTTAAAAATTGGGTCTAAAAGCAAAAATTAATTTATTTTAACTATTAATTTAATTACATTAATTAACGGATGTGCAAATGAGTAAAGCAACAAAAGGCTTTCTGAAAACTTACAACATGTAGGAAATTCACACTATTTGGTTGAAACAGGAGGCTTTAAAATATAGGACAGGACAATACCTACTAGCAACGTGCTCAGTGCTTTTGGAAGAAAGGAGTATATGGTATCATTGAGCACTTTTCCCACTGGAGGTTTGAAAGTACTTAGAGATTCTAGAGATGGCAATGTTTCTCAGCCATGGCAAAAGATAATGTAAATGAAGAAAGCAGAATGCATATGAAAATACCAAGGTATTTCATATCATAAAAAATGTCACGGGCCTGATAGATACAACAAATGATGATCAGAATGACCCTATAAGCTCCATATGCTTTCAAGCAATGTTTCTAGCAATATTAATTTCTAGCAATGTTAAGAAAGAGTAGACTCCTATGCTTCTGTTTTCTATGGGTATTCTTTTGCTGGGAATGCATAAATACTAGTCGTTTTTATTCAGAAAGTTGTTGATTAAACTAACTCTTGTAGGTTTTTTTTTAAAAGGGTATCTAACCTATATGTACACAAAAAGTGTGTCCATCAATTGTGAATCAGTCTTATAAACCCCACCTTGAACAAATATGTCTGTGTGTTAATAAATCATGCCTCAGTCCTGTAAACTCTATTCTAATGGTGAATATGAACAAATTAATAATATTTATGTCTTTTGTATTTATGCTGAAAGCATAGTTGTATTATAAAATGCAGTGGTCTCTGGGTTACCCTTCCAATAATTTTTTAATAACAACCATTATCTATTAGAATTCACTGATATTAATTGTTCACTACTACCAGAGGAATCAACCCACATATTCCTGAAGAGATTACAATTATGAAACATATTGCCCAGTAGGACACCTATAAGATTAGAACCAAAACTCAGAAAAAATTAAACAGGTTGATTGCAACAAAGGGTCATTTTGCAGAACTGTAAATAAGTCACCCCGATGTTTCAAAAGAAATTTCTAAAACCGATTCTATTCCTTTACATATACTTCTTCAAAATTCTTTAAAATGGAAACTAAGATTTATATGAAAATAAATTTAATAACTAGAAAACAAAATAAAAAGGTCTCCCTATCCTGGAAGTTGCTGGGGATTCTGGAGAGCCATTCTGCTTTTCGAGGACACTCACACTAGGTGACAGCTCAGGTGAAAAGTAGATAACCTAAGTTATTTATTTGATGCAAATACTCCCACCTCAGAACTATTTCTGGGCTTTGTCTTTCCATTATGAACTTCCTACATAATGTGAATACAACAGTAAAGTCTGTTTTGTAATATTTCATATTCTTGGTTATATTTACTGATTAGAGAGTTATTGCTTTTAGAAGCCAGCAAGTAAAACATTTGGTATTTTCCACTTTAATAAAAAGTATATATATAATTAAAAATATATGTAGTTCTGAAACAATTTTTTTATATTTTAGTAATTAAACCTTAATGTAAAAATATTTGCAACATTTCATAAGGTTTTTATTTTATTTTTTTTTTTAGGAATGAGTTAGATAAGCTACCAAGATTACATATTTAAAGACTACTTGTCAGCTAAGCTATTTTTCTATGAAAAAAATGGATGGTTTTCCAGAATCTTAAATACAAAAGAATATATTCAAGTTTCAAATCTTTGGGCACTCCAAATACATGTCCTGTGCGCTTTACAAAGGCTACAAGTAGCCTTCTCTCCTTGCTTGTAGACAACTTCCTTGAATTGTCAGCAGGTATACTCAGAAGATGAAAATCAATTTTATTGTGGGTTTCTTATGCTCTTTAAAAAGACGATTCTACAATAAAATAAATTTGGGAAACATTTTTGCTAATTTCCTTTTTCAGTAAACCACACAATAAACATCAGCATGCTAAATGCTCTGATTAGTCCTGCGATACATCAACCTGCTTAACCTCAGTGTTAGTTCACCTGGTATTTCTCAAGCTTATTTTGCCAGAAAATTGTTTTGTTTTGCTTTACATCAAATCTGTAAATATCTGTGGAATTTTGCTTTAGTAGAACATAATTTGTGTATCTTAAACAAACATTATTAGAAAAAAATTGCTGCTCAACCCTTAATAAATTTAAAAGTCAAGTGTAAATAATGTTTGAATTATCTATTGATTCTCTTACCCATTACCATTATTATCATCTCTTCCCTAACCCCATGGGACATAAGGCTCAAATCAGATGTCACAGATGGCACAGCAATGACTCATGACAATGGATAATATTTTAAAAATGTATCAAGGACAAAGAGACACTTTAACAAATGGAAAATAACCCCAAAGAAATGATTGACTTACTTTAAACACACCTTTGCTATAAAACAGCAAGTGATGTTTCGTAAAGTAATTTAAATAACTCTAGGTTACTGCTTTGTAAGTCTCAAGAGACAGAACTGACCTGAGATGACTATTGTTAGTGCCATAGCTTTGATTAAATGAACTTCACTGTGACCCTAGAGTGATGGTCCTTCCAATGAGAAGCAACGAGAATGCTCAGTTATACACTATCTCAGGAAAATTGTCTCCAACCCCACAACCATATGGAATGGAACTTTAAGATACTATTAACATTTCTATATTCTAGGCATACATATACATTTTAAGATTTAGGATTCATTCAAGTTAATAAGAGTGAATGTGCATATCTCATTTTCTGGTACGTTCCTAATTCAAACCACAATTTTCCTCCAGTAAAGTTCATGTGTTGAATGTGGAAAAAAAATTATAACATTTTTTGAAAGAAGGCCACACGAATGTTTACATGTCCTTCAGCTGAAGTTTTTCCAGTAATACTTTTGTAATAATTTTAATTTTCTATATTTCAACCAGACAAAAGTCACTGAATTTTGTGGGAGATAATCCTACAGAAGAGACATTGGCTATTATAACGTTGGACTTTGGGCCAGGTGCAGTGGCTCACGCCTGTAATCCCAGCACTTTGGGAGACTAAGATAGGTGGATCACTTGAGGTCAGGAATTCGAGACCAGCCTGGCCAACATGGTGAAACCCCGTCTCTACTAAAAATACAAAAATTAACTTGGCATGGTGGTTTGTGCCTGTAGTCTCAGCTACTCGGGAGGCTGAAGCAGGAAAATCGCTTGAACCTGGAAGGCGGAGGTTGCAGTGAGCTGCGATGGCACCACTGCACTCCAGCCTGATTGACAGAGCAAGAGTCTGTCTCAAAACAAAACAAAAAGTTGGACTTTGTTAACTTTTGGATTGGAGAAACATTTTTACTTATACATATAGTAACTTTTCTTTAAGAAATATTATAAATTAAAATCTTTTCTACCCTGAAATAGACTATGTGGCATTTTAGGTTCTTTATAAATTTGAAAAAGCTTTCTGACAAGCTGGCTCACATCTATGACACCTTATGACAAGTGACATATTTAGCTTATATTTACACTATCTCCAATGAAAGCCTCGATTTAAACAGTGAATATGATAAAATTCAACTGAATAAAAAAGCTCATGAGCAAATATTATCTTAATTAGTTCTACTTTCAGTTTTAATATCACTTCAGAATTTTGGGCTAATACTAGAATGTAGGTTGTTTTATTTTGTTTGTTTTGTTTTGAGATGGAGTCTCACTCTTGTCACCCAGGCTGGAGCGCAGTGGCGTGATCTCAGCTCACTGTGACCTTTGTCTCTCAGGTTCAAGCAATTCTCCTGCCTCAACCTTCTGAGTAGCTGGGATTACAGGCGTCTGCCACCATGCCCGGCTAAATTTTTTGTATTTTTAGTAGAGATGGGGTTTCACCATGTTGGCCAGGCTGGTCTCGAACTCCTGACCTCAGGTGACCCACCCGCCTCAGCCTCCCAAAGTGCTGGAATTACAGGTGTGAGCCACCAAGCCCAGCCAAAATGGAGGTTTTTCACAGTAGCACTTTTTATTTACAAAAGTTAATTTCTTGAGAAATTATTACAAATCATATTTTAAAGTTCACCAAAATACTTTTTTTCACATCGATCCTGCAATGAAACCCTTTTCATAATATAAATAACCACCTCCTAGCCCGCTCCTGCCACACACACACCCTAGTTCATTTGTTTTGTTCACATTTTTGTGTGTCTCATATTCATAAGTCAGGTCAAAACCTGATGGGAAATATGTGTTGGCTCCAACATACAAAGACTCTTCTAATGTTGTTTACATGACTCCATAAATTTTCTCCATGGTACCATCGGGTAACAAAAAGTGGCTAATACTCTATTTTCTCATTGAAAAGCCTGAAATGACTTGTAGACATTGTCATGTTGAGGCCTGAGTTTTTCTTGTTGAATCCTGTGGTATTTTCCCCAAAAAACGTGGAGAAAAGAATAATTTAGAGTACCAAATTTACATGCCAAATTCTAGGATTTCCTTTTTATCTTTGATTATGGATGACTAGTTAAAATGACCCGTTCCTAATATGTAACTAAGAAATATTTATGACAACAATATCAGTAAAATTAGTGTAGAGATGAAAATATTTACTACTTGGAATATACATTAACTTTCTGGAAAATTTTGAAATTCAAAAAATTTATTAGAAATGATATCATGGAAAATATCAAATTAACAATTTTATTTGCAATTGTGAATTGCAGGTTTTTTAAATGTCTTTTTACTATTTACAAAGATAAATTCTCCAATTCAAATCAGTAGGACTTCTTGACCCAGACTTCAAAGTCCACTATCTAAACTTAGGAAAATCAGTGTGATTTTCAAGTTATAGTACTCTTTGAAAATATCTCCTCTGTGAAAGTCAATGTTCAGATTACATATACAGAAAAGCTGTAGAAAGGTTTAAATCTAATGATAGGAACTATGTTACTTCATGGCGAAGTTCTGGAAATGTTATTAGGTGCTATGTGTTGTCTTCCCTGGCTCGGAAGGACATCACCAGGATGCTCCCGTGTCTGGGCAGCCTCGTGATCCAATATTCCCTATTCTTAATTCCAGAAAGATGCTTAATTGACTGGGTTGAAGTGTGTTAAGTTGTCTTAATGTTTCAAATTCATACATGAAACAATCTGGAATCTTCCCCCAGGAGCTCGCTGTTCTGACTCCTTCTGTGCTCTGCCCACAGTCCCACCACTTACTTTTTCTCTCAGCGTCCTCAGCCCTGGTCAGGTAATGGTAGAAGTAATCCAGTTTATCAGGCTGCTCCTCCAGGGGCTTCTGCAGCCAGAAGAGGGACCTGACTCTCGCAGCCTCCCTCAGGGCATCCCACTGCTCCATTAAAGCGAAGAGCTCGGTGAAGGACTTATGATAACCATCTCGCAGCATGTCCACACAGATGTTCTTCTTGTAGGAGTTCCTATAACTGGGAATATGAATCAGAACACTCACAGATTTATGTTAATCCTTTCAGTCTGCATGGTGTTTTAATTCTCTAATAATTAAAGGTTGAATCATGTTGCCTTTTTTCCCACAGTGAAAGCACTGAAAACTATCAAAAGATCTTTGCCTCAAACACTTATAATTGAACAACTTCTGTTTAATGAAAGATGCCAGGAGCTATCTAAATACAGTAATTTTAATGAAATTACATTATAAACATATCAGTTCCAGAGCTGAGCTCCATTTGATAAGGACAAATAAGCTAGTTGACTGATGAATATTCAAAAATACTTGATACATCAGCCTCCCACCAAAAAAAAAAAAAAAACCCAACAAGTCAAGCAAGAATAAAAATTGCCATTTAATATCAAAACAATATTCTCTCTATATTAGTAGTTTCACTGTATGTTACAGAAGTTCATCATTCTTTCATTCATGCAGAAAATATTTATTGAATTCTATTACTAACTATATATTTTCAAATTATTTTCAGTTAGAATTAAGTTAATGATTAATAATTCTATTCTAACTTCAATAATCAAATGCAAGAAGATAAAGTGACAAACAAATATTCCTTTTAGTCATGCGACAAATAGGTTCTGAGTTTCCTACTAAGTACCAGGCACTGTTCTAAACCAAATAGATTCCATGCCCTTGTGACGCTTGCATTCTAAGGGCAGAACATGACTAACAAATAAGTAAGCAAATGAGAATAATTTCAAATGATGAAAATTTCTAGAAAGGAAATGAACAGAATTGTGAGATAATAGCTGTGTAGTGGCTATTATTCCATTAAAAGAACAATTAGATGCCAAAAGATGTAGCTTTATACTAATTATGTTATATTCTTTTAAAAAAATAGGACAAAAGACCTGATGTGATACTACTGGCAACAAAAATTCACCGTGGAGTGGAAACAGCCCAGACCACCAAGATTGAGCCCACTTTTGCCTCACCTCCCTAGGTCTCCAGTCTTCTCATCTCTAAGCTGTGTATACTAGTATATGCTACGTACACCATGGAATTCCTCTAGGAACCAAATGAAATTAGGTATGTGAGAATACTCTGGGAAATGTGAAATCTCACTGCTGCTTCTCAATTCCTCATTATGCACTAGATTCACCTACAGAGTTCAAAAAACAAACAAATAACAAAACAAAACAAAACAAAATGACTAGACTTGCATCTGCCAAGAATTTCTTTTCCAGTGGATCAGCTTAGGTAGAGAACAAACAAATAAGAAGTGGCAAGCAGGAGAGTGGTGAGACAGGAAGTTTAGAAAAAAGGCAGGTCCCAGATCATGAAGAGACCTTACGGTAAAAACAACAGTGAGAAGTCTGGACTGCAAGCTAGCAGGGAGGTAGAGCTATTGGAGATCAGAGTCAGGGAACCGACATGACAAGACTGCATTTTACAAAAGTCATCTAGAAGAAGTGTCCCAGCTGAACTGCAACCTTCCCCTATCTGGCAGTCAGGTTGTTACAGAATTAGTCCATAAAGAGAATAAAGAGACCACATGGATCCTAGGTCAAAAGATCAAAAGCCAACATTTAGCATGAGAATAAGATATATTTGAAATGGGGAAGAGAAAAGGAATAGTGGTTGTTACTTATTCCTGTCCTCCAATCGCGATAGAGGAGGAGAGCATGGAGAAAGGCAGCGAGATGCTTGGAGGGCCATGTTCTCTTTCTCTTCCTCACTCCAGTCAAATGGAGGAGCTCAGAGAGTAAAAAAGTCAATATCCTATGAAATGCAGTGGGAGCCAAGAGTAGAAAACACTCATATCCTTCTTCCCATCTAGGGTTCTTGAAGGCAGGGAGGTCTACCAACATCCCTCTTCCCACCTCCCCATACACAAGGGCATGCAAAGGCAGCAAAAGTCACTGCATAGCATTTCTAGGCAGAGGACGACAAGGATCATCCCTGTAATTGCCCACAGCCCTGAATGGTATAGGAGAAGGGACTTAATATTCCAGTGGGCTCCATGCGTGGCCCAGAAGTTACTGGGAGGAGAGGGCTGATATGTCTGTCACAATGTCATCTGGCCATAGCAAGGAGATGTATGCTAACAACTGTTCATGGGCTGCCCACTGGGGACTGACGTAAGACACAGCTAAAATTGAAATGAGAAGTACTGGGGCACTCCTGAAGGGTTCAGGTCAGCAAATTTCCAGAGCTGATAGAACAAAGACAGATCAAGTACATCAGAGACTGACACATGTAAAGGACCTCATAAGCTAGGAATGCATTCAGCTAGTAAGTAAAAGAAACTTGTCTCACAGTGCTGTGAAAAATGGAGGTTTCTAATTTTCTTGCCTAAAGGCAGGCAGCTGAGGGCCTTGGTTCAGTGGCCTGGCAAGTTCAAGGCCATGTCTCTGGGGTTATCTTGACTTTCCCTCCTTCTGGTCCCTTACTGGTTGCTACAGGGCTGCTACAGCTTCAGACATGATGTCCACTTTCAAGACAGGAAGAAAAGGGAAAGTGGGGTGGCACTAGCATCCCTTATGGGAAAAACAAAATATTCCTGCAACCACTAGCAGATTTCCACTTGTTTATTGGCCAGAACCCTGTCACGGCCCCACTTCTCAACTTGGTGCCAGGAGTCTGGAAAAACAAATATGCTGCCTGCTCTTGGGCATGTTGCTGCCCCCAAACAAAACTAGAGTTATGTCTGCAAAGACAGAAGAAGGAATGGATACTGGACAGACAAATGCAGTGACAATTACAAAGTCCTAGAAGTCAGGGGTGTCCAGTCTTTTGGCTTCTATGGGTCACATTGGAAGAAGAATTGCCTTGGGCCACACATAAAATACACTAAAACTAACAATAGCTGATGAGCTTAAAAAAATCATTTAAAAATCTCATAACCTTTTTAAGAAAGTTTATGAATTTGTGTTAGGCCACATTCAAAGCCATCCTGGGCCGTCTGTGGCCCACAGGCACTGGGTTGGACAAGATTGTTCCAGGTCAAGATCTGAAAATAAATGCTGTTACCCCAGGGAGTTACCAGATAAATTGTAGGAGGCCCAGATAAGTTTTAACATCAGATAAACAATGAATGATTTTTTTTATTAGCAGTATGTCCCAAATATTGCATAGAACATACTTATTCTAAAAAGAGTTTCTTGTTTTTGAAACTCAGACTGAACTGTATGCTCTGTATTTCTATTTGCTAAATCTAGTAACTCTCCTCCCTTGAAGCCCCCAGTAGTGCAATGCTGTTTCTGTGTAGGAAAATAGGGTGAGGGGAAGAAGTTTTAGAATCTTGAACAACTTGAGAAACTGCTGAATTGGACTGACTTTACCTGAGAGTGACAAGATTGGATTTTTACACTAGGGAGGATCAAGGCTCAGGGCCAGGAATTAAAATTAAGTTATAAAAAAATAAAGACTTTCAATTTAGCATTCTCAAGTCTGAGAGTCAGAAATTCACACCTGATCCAAGAGAAGCAAGGGGAGAAGGGTAAAACCAGGAGCAGGAAGAACGGATGGGAGATCGGTGGTCACAGAAAGGAGAGGTGCTGGGGGTGGAACCAGGGTAAAGCTGGAGGGATGGAAAGAAGTAGGTGAATTCAAAACATTTTAAGGAGACAAAAATATGGATTACTTGGTGATTCAAAGATATATCAAGGGTGAAGGAAAGGGAGGAGCAAGGGTAACAACCAGGTTTGGGGATTGGGTAATGGGTAATTTACTAAAGTTACATTAATAATTTGCTAAAGAGGGGAACACGAAAGGATGAACAGGTTTGGGGAAAGAAAATGAGTTAAGGTTCAGATAACTGGAGTTTCAGGAGCCTGAGGGGACCTCCACGTGTTACCCCAGAAGGCAGTTTGGGGGGTGACATAGGAGGCCTGAGAGGACAAGGGGCTGGAATCTTGCCTCACACAGGCAATGCCACCTTTGTATGGGTATGCATTGGTGGCCGGCCAGTCTTCCTAGGAGTGAAGAAAACATTTGGGGGCAAAAATGAAGAAAATTATAAATAGATAAAAATTTAAACATTGACCATAAATGATACAAATAAATGCTAGATAGGGCAGTTAGAAGGCCATCTCAGTTCTAATCCCAACAGGGTCAGAAATCCAGAAAAATCACTCTCTGGGCCTCATTCCCCCACCCCCGGAAGATGAAGGTGCTTTTGCTGGATTTGGTCCACCCAGCATCTAGCTCCACGTCCACAGGAGGCATACACTAAAAGTATTTCAGAAATAACCTTCCCCACATTGTGTGTAGTCTTGGTGGCATGGAAATTCAGGGACTCCCTAGTCAAAGAGTGGGTTATTGACCCAAATTAGGCCAACTGGTCTCTCTCCCAAAATTCTGAAACCTGAGGCAAGCAATACAAAGGTGTAGGAGGTTGCTGGCGCTCAATCAATTCTGGCAGAATTTTGACAAGATGGTCTCATAGTTCCTGCTACCTATATCCATTCGAGAGGGCCGGGTCTGGTCTTTTTCTTCTGATCTGGGTTCTCCTCTAAATTCCACTACATCCTTTCAATAAAATCATTTTCACTTGATTTAGTCAGAATCCATTTCTGCTGTCTGTGACCAAAGAACACTAAGTGATTCAGAAGGGATTGGACAATCATTATTTCCACACCGTCTTTCAGCCTCAAACATCTATGATATATAACTAATATCAATTTTTAAAATTTCCAGTACATTTTTTAAAAAGATCATTCTTTACAGGTGATGTTACAAATAGAAATGTATTTAAATATGCATATAGAACTATGCTGATATCGTCTCTACTTTTTACACACATGCACACATACCTATGCATACTAATATGCTACTGTTTAAGCCTCATTGTTAACATTTGAGAGCAAGAAAGGACAATTATAGTGGTTTAATAAATTGGTTCCTATCTAAACCTTCATAGTTAATGCGAATTATTTCTTTTAACCAGAAAATCTTCATTTGTTAAAATAAATTGGCTATCTATAAAAAAGGAATGTCAATCTCTACCATTATATTTGA